TAAGTCTTTTAAGGTATTCCTCGAAACCAAGTTTTTCGACATATAATTCGTTGCCTTTTGGTGAAATCGACTTTTGAATCTCCTCATCATGCACTTTCACACAATATAAAGTTATCCCCGACATTTCATATACGTTGTGTACCTCTTCAAACGCCAATTCCATGAACGGTTATTCTCAAGTCTTTAATCCCCAAAGCTTCAGAAACTTCATGTCCCCACCTCCACCCCATTCTTTCACACATTTTCTAGGGTTCTATCTCTGGAACCTTCATTTGGAGCCTTTAGTGTGGAGTTATAGCGATTCAATACTTCACTTGCGTGCTATTAGTCCCACCCAATTCTAAGGTCCTACTCAGTTCTGCGTGTGTATATTGGTTAAAAACTACCAATGTCAGGCATGTCATGAGCCGGCGTCTTTAGTGAAGGGCACCATCATGTTAGCACATAATTACTTCTTATCAAAGTGACGATTGACAAATGATAAGCTGCAAATCTCTACTAAAAGTGACGTATTTCAATAAAAATGCCAACTACCATGCCAGCGAATTATGTGGTAAGACGCCAAGTCAGTGGTCCAATGTTGGAGATTATCACGAGCACACGGGCCGAAGAAACAGGACTTGGTTTGTTCCACAAGGTCCTCCTGTCGCTCCGAACAAGTTGCGAAAACGTAGTTAAATCAATAATACACAGTTAGAGAAGACTGCAACCAAGCCTGAGGCTACAACATTCTGATGTTCATATGTTGTGATAGAAATTATAACGCAATTTTACTAATTATTGTTAATATGGGCTAGTTTACCTGAGAAAAGGCTTTCAGCTCACGATCCGTTTCCAGTGTGAAGGCTAACGACCTGGTGTGCATTGGCTCAGGGGCCAAGGCATTCATAGCCCAAGGTGTGTACTGGCACAGCGATCGACCGGCTGATGTGGCGTAGCGCCGACGCAAATTTTCATGCGCTCGGGACAAGTAAAGTGGTGTTGAGGCCGGAATCCGAATAAAGCAGTCTGGCTGGGGTCCAAAGTCGGGGTCGATGACCACATGTATCAGCTGACGCTGAGCCGACTCGAGTATAGGTTCATTGGTCTTTACATTCTCAGTGGACCCAGAGGAGTCGGCCTCCATATTGTCTTCTGGTTTCGAGCCGGCGGTCAACTCATGCGAGACTCGCAACATAAATTCATCTTCTTCCGGACTCCATTGTTTACTAGCCAAGTAAGCAAGGTTTCGATTCATAGAAGGTGAGCGCACAGACAGTGACCTTCGCCCAGTCAAACCATCTTTAGCTTTCGCAGGAGGTACTTGAGGGGCAGGCTGAACTGAGGTTTCGGGTTCGCCAAAATGGTTGTAAGGCAGGTAGATTATCTGTACCAAGGAGTTACGAGAAATTGCTTTCACCAGATGGGTACAATCTGAGTTGAAAATGTCATTCCATTTGTGAAAGGAGTAGTTAACCTGGATAAATTAGAGTAAGAAACAGCCTTTGTTATCTTGATATGTATTAGGAAGTCTATAGAAATTGATAAAACAAGGTCTAGCAACTTCTATACAACGAAATGAGACTGCGACCACACAAAAGGCTACACCATCTTGTGCTTAAGGTATAAGACTATTTGTAGTTATGAAGAAGAGCTGGGTTTCGAAGAATCCTCTAGTAGCTTGATACTGACATCTGATTTGGTTGGCTACCTCAAACTTCCCCTACATGCTTGCAAATGAGTGAAGTTAATTCACGAACCGGAAGTTGGCAGCTGTTTCCTTACACAAATAAACCTGCATACGATCCTTTAATGTTGACTCTTATTTGGGTATGTGCTAGTGTCCCTTGTGTGTATGTAGTATTCATATCATTGTAGATGTTATAGCTCCAGCTAGACTCAAAGCCAACTTAGCCTCTTTTCTCTTGCTCAGTGGTTCTTCATGCTCTCCCTCTCCTTAAAACTATCCAACAGCCGAAAATAGTGGCCTATCTTTCATTTCGTTTGAGAAGTAGGGTCGGAGGGATTCGTAGGTTGGCCTCATCGGCTACCGAAGGAAGTTTGAGGTAGCCAACCAAATCATGAGATGCCTAACTGTGATCGCAAGAAAAGGTGCATAATAGGTGTATAAAAGGTGAGTAGGTTTCCAGCCGCATGTTCATTGGGTTCGCGGGCCGGTGAGCTGAGGTCTACTTGACACAATATAACAATCTTTATTCCGCGACAATCATTCTTTGGTTTCCGATGAGACCATTTCAAAAATTCCTTCCAACACAC